TTAGTAGGTTGCACCAGACAGGGTGCGGACAGTCAACTTGACAGCAGCCTTGGTGTGATGAGCCAGCGATCACGGGTTCCCACGGTGGCGCTAATGCCCACTAAAAACCCTCAGCCCAAACCTTACGATTCGGGGAAGTGTTAGGAGCAGCCATCCAGTAAGCAGTCAGCATGGAGGCAGCGAGCCGCGCTCACGACAGGCTACAGATCGGCCTACACGGTTTGTTTAATATGCGGTTATAACCGAGCCTGCTCAGAGTGCACTTGATGCACGTAGTCGCCCAGTACCCCTCTACTCCAGACCCTCCCTATTAGAACCCATTTATTGTTATCTGAACACGGGTTTTTCGCCCTAGGCATACGCCGGCAAAAGTTGCCAAAGCAAGACATCCATCCAGGCGCCGTATTTGTTTTTTTTGGGGGGGAGGAGCAAACGTAGGAGGCGTTTGTGCGCGTAGGGTTTTTCTTGGGTCGGGGGAGCTTGTGTGTGTATGTTCGGCCATCGATTTCGATGACGGCTTGTAAACTCCCCCAGTTAACGCACGGAATACCGCCCATATACGCAATCACGGCGCACTAGTACCAAAGACTATAGGGGCCTATTCGCCTCTATCCTTTGGTCCGACTGGAACCATTCTATTCATTGGTACTAGAACATTGCTATTAGGGTACTGAATGACGACGATGCTTCGCAAATAGTTCTTAGCTGTCCAGACTGCCCTCAAAAAGAGTTGCCGAACTTTTACAATGTACAATACTGCAAGGCAGAGAGCGCACTGAATTACATCCTAGTTGTGCTTTACAAATAAACCTTATTATTATTGATGCCTTCTTGCAGTCCAAGTGGAAGAGGTTATTTTTCGAACTGACCGCGGCTGAATATACCTCAGCAGAGGGATCAATCAAAAATCCATTAATGATAGACTGTTTCCAGACCTCAAATATTCGTACTCTGAAACCTCTACCACATAAATTGCATAAGTCACTTTATTATGGATATTATTTTCAAATTTTGGTATTATTGTACACTTGTAGACAGTTGTTGTTTTAACTTAGAACAAACTCCCTATTTTGCACACTACTTACTAATCATAAAAAACAGAACCATTGTCTGAGTGCAAAATAAGGGGTTTATTTTAGGTTTCTTCATGTTTTCCAAGGGATTTGATGGTGCCCTAGAGGTGCCTTACCAATAAAGCTTATTATACAATGCCCTCATCGATAAGCGACAGAGCCTTTGCGTAATACATGGTAGTCAGAGGAGTTCATGAAGTGAAGGAGATCGCAAATGGCCAATTATTGAAAGGGCGTTTAAGAAAGACTTTAAGAAAAAACAACTTAAGGTTAGTCCATTTAACTAACTTTTATTAACCAGTATGAGCAAAATACCTTCCTTTGCAAGCTAGCATTGTTCCTCTTTTTCCGTTTCAGAAGCACGGGTGTCACAAACGGCGAAGATGCAAACGGGTCATGACCTGCTCGGATTTTAATTATTTTTGAACACTACCTTTTTAACATATATTTTACGTAAAATAACATTATACTTCCAAACGACCCTTTTCAGGGCAAAGTGTCCCGGTGGCAGATGAAAAAATGCGATACCATTTTCGGCTAGTGGGCTGACGTGCGCGATAAAACCAATTCGCGAATCCCAGTGAGAGCGCTGAGGTTCGCAATGGGCGGGCTGTATTAAATCTTTGCCGAAGGACCGAGTGAAATCCCGAATGAAATGGTAAGGAGTCCTCAAGAGATAAAGTTAACTCATGGAGCTCACCTAGTTGTAACCGACACCACAGCCGCGATGGAACTGCTGGCGCAAGGATGGCTGATCCTAACTGAGGAAGCGATAGTAATGAACTAGGGGTAGCTATAAACCGTATAACGTCAAATTTTTGGCAGCCGAACCAACATGAACATGAGCAGCAGATCCCAGTTCAGCATCGAATTTAATTGGACAAAGGTCTTTTCACGGTCGGAGGAAAAGCATCGAGAAACATCCCTTTACTGCAAGAATTTGGGCGGGGTCCGAACGTTATGCACGATGACAGGGAGGGCTATAGCTGCCGATCAACCCGAGGAATGAACGAAATTTTTGTAAATCACCGAGTGTATTAATCGTTTGGATGACACGAAAATCCTATGGAGCTGTGACAAGTTCTAGCGAATTTGATTCCGAGATATTTGGTTATACACGGGAAGAATTAATATTTATTGACGTTCAAGCAGAAGCTGCGCGTTACGGAATACTGTGTACATTCATCGTTTGCCTGAAAAAAGTTGGCGCCGTCTTGAAAACAAAGTACACCCTGGTGTATTGAACAGACAGAGGTAGATGTGAATGGATGTGCCTTCACCGATCTAGTAGAGGTAGATGTTAATCGTCAGTAATTCCCACGAGTTTGACGTTTTCTTGTTCTGTAAGTACATATCAGTCAGATTAACTTGGCAAAACGTATGCCGCCATTCAATGGAATCGGAATCGGCAACGCATTGAGACTGGCGGAAATGCCAAGAGAACTACAAATCGAGAAACTCATTTGCTTGATCAGAACAACCAAAGCCACAAAGGCGAAGTTGAATACAACTGTACGAAACCCAGTAAGTTCACATGTTCCAGCTTCGCATAGACAAGGTGCAAGGCTAAATACGGAACAAGTTTCCTTCAATGAACCTCTGGCTGACTTCCAGGACACGGATGTGCACAGAAGCCGGACGTCTTTACATACTGGAACGAACCGTTGGAGGATGCCCTGGGTGGGACCTGCAGGCACAACACAGCCCTGTAGCAGAGCGAAGTAGCATTTGGGTCGAACTAAGTTGTTAACTTGAGTGGGGACTAAGAAGGTTGAGATTGGACTTTGTAGCTTAACAGATCGCACGTATGGTGGTGCCGCGGATATTCAATATTCAAGTTGCCCCATTAGCTGAACAAGAACACCGAAAACATTTGTGATGGACTGGACGTTCTCGGAGGTCATAACTGCCTGGTGTACTGCTCGACTATAAGCGAATAGTGTAAGCGTTGAGCTGAGCATTTAGAAACGTTCGTTCACTAGCTGAATTGAGCTGGGAAATAGCCAACAGACCCAAGAATTACCGACAGACTTCGGTTTGGACTTCCTTTGGGGAAGAAACGGCGCAAACGATTGTGAATGGCAGGGACAAATGAGGTTCTGTAAACACGGACATGCCTAAGTACATTAGTAGCAAGGCCTGAAATCCTCAATGCTTACGATCTTCTATCAATATCAGAAGGACTCTAGTTTCCTTATCTTTATGGAGGTCGTGGGAGATTAGTCCGGATTAATTGAGTCGGAACTCTTAATTTAGTGCCACTCATACCACGATACATGTTAGGGGGTATGAAAAATGTGTGCTATACTAATATATTTTATTTTATTCACCTGGTATTCCAAGAATTTATAAAAAAAGTCCTAATGTGCCATACTCCTTTTTTTCATTTTGTCGTTAATTCGCGTCATTTTCTACTACTCCTTCACATATTCCACATTCCTAAACTTTTTGTGGCCTCTATGTTCAAAAACGGTTAAGCACATCGACAGGGTCTAGTAGCTATTTCAGTTTAGTGCATAGGTTCTGAGCGTACGAAAATATGGATTATCAGCATGTCCACATTGTACTGTCACACTCTCTCTCTAGCATCAGTCATCTTCCGATGATTGCAACGCAGCAAAATAATGAGCAAATGAGAACCACATGCGTTTAAGCATACTAACTTTTCGTTCACGACTTATAATCTACTGTAATGTTTTACAACCACTGTGTAGGCAACGTCCGGGCAAGACTTACCACTCACACCTGGGTAATGCCTGTCGAACATGTGCAGGGCATTTACCACAGTTTTATAAGCATAGATAAGCTGGCAGAGAATGAAACCAAATGAAGCCATGCAAAAGATTCACAAACTAATATTCAGATACTCATTCTATAGTAAGAAAAAGGTGTAACCGAGGCGGACACACACACCGCGAGCAATTATGTGAGAACATCTACTTAATACATCAGAATAACATCAGGCTTTCAAAAGGCCGAAGTAAATGATAATGGGGAAATTTACTTATAACTTGCAAATGCTGAAACATATGCAGGTCAGCAAATAGGTCAGACGCGCAATCTTTTTCAGGAAGCAAAATAAGTTACGTAAAATTAATCACACCCACGCAATTAGGTTTATAAGTGGTGAATGCTATAAAATACACGTGGTTGCATCTATCCGATATTAAAATGATACCAAGATTGAAATGGTGCCATTGACGGATGAATTTCCCCTTTTTTCGAAATAAACTGCTTATGAGACCTCCATGTACACACGAATGTTTGAGGTTAGATTTTTTTAGAAGTCTTGAAGAGCGGGCTCAGAAAGAACCATGCGTCTAAAAAATCCACAAAACAACTTGCAACGTGAGCGACTTGACCTCGATCCAGTCCGTGCCAGGATTTTTCTGTGTCAGTAGTGCTGATAGTCACACCACTTTGTGCACAACGACACTAGGCTGTTTACAGAGCGAGGATGCCAGGCACAAAAGGCTCTACGGCCATTGTACCCGTTCAAAAAGACCCAGAAGCTGGGCACTGTCCAATTTGTCGAGATGAAATCGACTTTTATTCGTATGGAGCTTGTGATCATCCCACTTGTTCTCGGTGCGCCGTTAAAATTCGTCGCTTTGGGAACACTGATGAGCCGGATTTTTCGAAGTGTGCGACTTGCAGAGCTCCATTAAACAGGGTACTATTACATAATTTTTAAAGTTATTACATCCTAAAGGTTATTTTGATGACCAGCTTCAAACCGTTCTCTCAAGTTGACTTAACATCATTGATCCATGAAGTGGAACTGGATTTTCTATTTGAAAATGAAGTTGTAGAAGCTTGCTACAAGAAACTGATAACATGCAAATGTCTTGTATGTAATTTTGTTGCTAAAACAATGTCAGCGCTGAATCGTCACACGACTACCGAACACAACCTTTCATACTGCGATTTGTGTCTACGGAATGCTAGGGTAATTTTGCCTCGTTTACCAGATTTTTTTAGCTTTTACCATCTGAATTTATCCCAATGGAACCCCAAGCACTTGCGGCTCACAGGAAATGGGACAAAGAAAGGAAACGTGGGCACCCGAAGTGTGAATTTTGTGATAACACCTTCTACGAGTTCGAAGATCTTGTAAAACATATTCGTGAGGCTCACTTTTTATGTGACTTTTGTCATGCAAATGGCGCATTTGAAGTTTTTCGGTAAGTTGTCTTTCTGCTGCATTCAAGTATCCTTACTTGAGCTGTCAGTCTTGAGTCGTATCAAACCAATTATGAATTGCTAATTTAGGCGTCAACACGAGTTACTACAGCACTATAAGGACGCACATTTCGTCTGCTCTGAATGTGATGCAAAAGGCCGAATCGTTTGCTACGCTACTTTTGATCAACTTGGTCTCCATCGGCTGCACGAACATCCTCAAGAAACAGCCAATGACCCACGTCGATGGGATCCTGTTCAGATTCGATATCCTACCCAAGGCTTATATGGCCAACACGGACGAGTGGATATGCGAGCTTCAGGACAACGCCCCCATCATGGTCCTCCAGAGCCCGAGGCTGGTAGGCTGCTGTATTTTTCTCTCGAGAGTCATCCTATTTAGTTTTGAGTCACTTCCTTTGAAATGCTGTCTTGCTATTATTTTCTCTCATTAAGTTGCGCGCTATTGAATACCCCCTAAAACTGCCTCAGCCTTAAGGCTACAAATAGTTTCTGCGTTGCTACTGCTGCGCTTATTTATCTAACAAATCGGTTTCCAGGCCAATTTTCCGTTTACTTGGCCGATACAATTACCGTACCACACTAAAGGGCCCACTACATAATAAAGGTTCATTTTCGAACTTTTTACTCATAGAAAGCGCACCGGACTAACAAAAA